ATATTTATAATATTTATAATATTTATAATATTTATAATATTTATAATATATTTACAAAATTAACTAGTTCACGATAATTTTGTTAAAAAATGACCTATTTCTGTGTGATATATTAACAAATGAAGGATTGTAAAAAAAAAAAAAAATTGTTTTTTATCCTTCAAAACTTATTGGTCAATTTCATAAATTCTTTCATTTGTCTCGGGTTTCAACGAAATTGAATATCTAGAGTTGATGTTTTTATTTGTTGTTAGCTAAGAAAAAATCTTGTATTTCAGGAAAATGTGAACGACGGATTAAAAAAAAAAAAATCGAGATCGTTATTTGTGTTGTGTAATAACAAATAACAATATAATCGATAAGGAAATAAAAAATTTCTTTATTATTATAATCAATAAATTTGGGAACTTCGTTGAAAGAAATAATAACCTTTGAAAGTTATATCAAAAAGCACCTTTATTTTGGAAAAAACAATCGTAAATGTGAGAATGAAAGTCAACCAACATGGTTTTTTAATCAATTTAACCAATTAGTTTGTTGTACAATTGTGTAATATTTGTGTGTTCGAATTGTATTTAATTAATATATTTCATTATAAAAAAGAATTTATTAATTTTTTCATTTATTGTATGCTCGGATGCTTGGGAAGTATTATATGCATGTTTATCAACCGGTCTGTTACTTATTTGTGTGGAGAACCCAGAAATTCCAATCAATCGAGATCATTTGACTTTAAATTCTTTAATATAGAATATATATGAAAATATTTATAAATAAGTTGTATATTTAAAGCAAGCACTATATTTAATTAAAAGCATATAAAAGTATATTTAAAAATTATTATTCAGGTTATATAACGAGAAAATTGAAAATAATAAATCAATAAATATTGTTCATAAAGTTGTTGACATTATATATATATATATATATGATATACATTATAGAGAATATTTATATTACCAATATAAGTCAATAAGGAATTAATAGTATTATTAATTAATGTATTAAATATATTTTATGTTATGACGAAATTAATATATTAAATATATTTTATGTTATGACGAAATTTATTAAAAATCAAATTGGCAAAAAAAAATTTTAAATAAAATTATTATGAAATACAAATATGAAAACGTGGCTGACTACATTTACCCCTGTTACATCGACAAATCCGGAGTTGTGCACCCGGGGGGGGGCGCTGGGGAGACGGCGCGCCCCGGCCGTGGAACTAGGAGAAGTGCCGTCGTGAGAGTGGTTGGTGAGTTTTCTT